ACGTATGCCCCATTTCTATGTACCATGAAGAGGTGTCCTAAAAAAAAACCCCCACAGCAAATGGATTTTTTTTAAAGTGCTGGTCTAAATGAAATCTATTATGCTTATTGTTGTACCACTAGCTGCAGTATCATACTGAGGGTAACTGAGGAACTATTTGGTCTACAAAGGGTAGTTTTGCATACAAACCCTTTAGGTTGTAACTAGACCAATGTGCTGTTGAAATCCATCTTCATAGAAGTCCCGAATTGCTGTTTCTGAAACTCACTGCACAAGTCATCCTTTGCTCCTAACTCAGGCCACCTGTGGCACCTTCACAATAAAGTGCTGTTTTCTTTCTCATAATATGTTTCCAACATTCTGTGATGGATACCCAGTACTTTGGTAGAAAAAGTTCTCTAACTGGTTTCATAAACGTGACATAACACCTTTTGTAGGCGTTAGACAGGTAAGGATATTGTCATGTCTGCAAAAGGAATCCCCGGCCCATTTCTGAAATTGTGTTCTGAGATAAACCTGTGAAGAAATAAAACAACAGTTATTATGCGGAGGTGGGATAGGTGTCCATGAAGAGATGATTTTTCAAGGATCCACTAAAGGTGTACATAATAGGAGATGAGCAGACCAGTTGGGGTAGGGTGTTTCAGAGGATGGGAGAGACTCTGGAGAAGTCTTGGAGGTAAGCATGGGAGAAGGTGACGAGGGAGCTGGAGAGGGCAGGAGGTCTTCAGAGGTGTAGAGAAGGTTTTGGTGATATTTTAAGATCATATGGTTGGTCTCGTCAATGTGCCGCTACTCCATTGCTGTCCAGCCACAGGCTGAGGTGGATCTTGGACCATGATATATTGCTAACTGACATAAAGAAATGTAGGTCTTGGACCTAGCTATGGCAGAATGCCTGAACAGAAGTACAAGGCCTTTGGAGGGAAAAACAGTTTACATATACACAATATGGCCAAAAGTACTGGGACGCCTTTACACGCACATTAATTTTAATGGCATCCTAGTCTTAGTCCGTAGGGTTCAATATTG